CAATTTGGCCTAGTGATTGCATCTCTCAGTACTCGATTATCGGCAGCAGACCCCTCCCACCCACACAACATGTAAACGAAGTTCATATTTCTATCGCACACCCCAAGTACATTAACTGCTACTTGACCCTTTCGATTTCTATATCTTCCCCTATCTTTCGACGGGACTCGAACGTTAATGTAGGTACCATCTAGTGCTTCTAGACACCCCTATTTTTAAAAGAAAAAAAAAAGTATTAGTTTGGAAGAAGTTGAGAAGGAAGAAGTGATTGAGCGTTGTTAAGGGTCTTAATTTGTAGGCTACCTTGAACCATTTCCACCGTTCATCGGAACAGTCATCCTCAACTGGGGTAGGTGACGCGGCTAGAACGGTGTAAAGGCGGATTACCGCATCAAGTACACGATTAAAGTACTTGGTTACAGTTCTACCTGATCTCGTCAAATCAAACTTTAAGGTGACGTTCTTCTTGTGATGTGCAAGGATTGAAAGAAACATAGCAACTTGTTCACTCGGTGCGACGTTTCTAGATTGAACAAGACCCCCTAAATTTTTAAGGAGGAAACAAAGGCGACCAAAACAGTCTCTGTCCATACGGAGGTTCTCAAAGCAAGTGGTGTCGCTGACGTCGACTAGCCTTTGCATGTGACTCACTTGAAGGGGCACTCTATCCCTCAATCGGTATGTTCGTCCGCTAGTCAACGAACGTCGACGGCGGCGAGGGAGTATGAATTTGTGGTAGTAGTAACTAGCTACTATGAAAAAAAAACGAGCACCAAGAACAATCTCTTCCAAAAGGGTGAGAATTAGTAATTTGTCTCGCATGTTAGCCATCTACAAAGAGTGAAAAACATTCGGACTTCACCCATTCGAAGATGTCACAACTGGTAAATTACTATGATTTTCAAATGGTGTAAATTAGAGTGAGACACGAGCACTCAAAATGCATTGATGACAACTTAGGACTTAAATGACACAAAAAAGTGCAAAAAGCCATAAGCAATAGAAGAACATAATAGTAATATATGAAATAAGGACACTGTACCTAAAGAAAAGTTTATGTAGAAGAAGCAACGGGGACTGGATGCTTTCCGCGTCGAATGTTGACTGAACCTTACAAGAAATTGACTTTAATGTTAGTAAAACATGTCAAGTGTTTTCTTTATTAAAGCATGCATATGCATGTATACGCATATAAACACACAAACACATTAGAAACATAAGAAATATCCCTAGTATTGTACAGGTTGAAAATCATAAAGAATTATGAGCACGTCCTACACCCGCCACTTACTATATCAGATTAACGAACAAAATGATACACAGTTTAAATAGTAAATACTCATATTGCTAATGGAAGTTCACACCAAAAACAACCAAAGTGCAATGATGCAAATATTGAACAAGCTGAAAATCATATCAACTCACTTGGCCATATTATTATAAATCTGAAGTTGAGATCATTTATAAGAAACTCATATAGTTCTCATAATAAATATATGTGCAATTAAATACCAATAAGGGTAACTCAGAAGTTGAAAATAAGAAATATATGCATGTCTATGCATATAAACACAGAAACAGGAAAATATATGTGCAATGTAATACGAATAAGAATATCTCACAAGCTGAAAATAAGTAATATATGCATGTATATGCATATAAACACACAAACACATTACAAACACAACAAATATCCATAATATTCAACACCTGCCAATGACTATAGCCTGCCACTTACTATATCAGATTAAAGAACAAAATGATACATAGTTTAAATAGTAAATACACATACCCCTGTTGGAAGTTCACATCAGAAACAACCAAAGTGCAATGATGCAAATATTAATGAAGCTGAAAATCATATCAACTCACTTGGCCATATTATTATAAATCTGAAGTTGAGATCATTTATAAGAAACTCATATAGTTCTTGTAATAAATATATGTGCAATTAAATACCAATAAGGGTAACTCAGAAGTTGAAAATAAGAAATATATGCATGTCTATGCATATAAACACAGAAACAGGAAAATATATGTGCAATGTAATACCAATAAGAATATCTCACAAGCTGAAAATAAGTAATATATGCATGTATATGCGTATAAACACACAAACACATTACAAACACAACAAATATCCATAATATTCAACACCTGCCAATGACTATAGCCTGCCACTTACTATATCAGATTAAAGAACAAAATGATACATAGTTTAAATAGTAAATACACATACCCCTGTTGGAAGTTCACATCAGAAACAACAAAAGTGCAATGATGCAAATATTAATGAAGCTGAAAATCATATCAACTCACTTGGCCCTATTATTATTAAACTGAAGTTGAGATCATTTATAAAAAAACTCATAGTTCTCATAATAAATATATGTGCAAGCTACTACCAGTAAGGATAGGTCAGTTCACTTTTAATATTATGCCTGCCATCTATAAAAAACAAATCATTTCTGTGGATAATTTAATAGCACAGTACAAACACATTTTAGTGTATCCCAGACAAGAAATAATCAACCACAATTAAATGTTATATGGACTATAGCAGAAGTTTTTATTTCAAAGGGTGAATGAACCCTTCTCTGCACTAGAATTCAGCGGAGTCGACTGAAAAGCAGAAAAATGTGTAACTCCTAATACAGAACAAAATAAATAAACCTGCAAGTAAGTTTTTTAAATTACAAGCATCACATGCCTTTTCTGAAAGCAAAAACAAAAAAAATCCGATGGAGTTTAGCTTCATAAATACCAATCAAGTCACATAATGATCAAGTTAAAAAGCTCAGCATACTAACATCAGCTCAGTATATCCAGGGTAAGACCACCAAGGCTACACACACCACACCAGCTTCTGCATTCATAGGTTCTCTGTTTCTTTATTTGTATCCAATTTTCCTGCCAACTTACAGGGCCTTACAGCTGAGAGATATAATCAAGGGAAAACACATATTTTCACAAAAACTGTACAGTCTTTCTCTGTAAATAAAGAATGGAAGTCTATCTTAAATATATTTTTTCTCTGTAACTGTACAGTTATTTTGGTTTTTTTTTTTCAACCCTAACATGTCTTGACATACTTTATGTCAAATAAATGGGGTAACCGCCTAAACTAATTAAATCAAACAAGACTTTCACCTGTATGATTTTTTTATGTGTTAGAAACAACAATTTATAAATTTCTTACACAAAAGCAGGGGTCTAAGACTAATAAATTAATCTTGTGCAGCTATTTTACATTGTATATTTTTTTACTTATAATACTTTTCCAACATAGTTGTTATGGACACATATGAAGCTTGATCTGTACTAGCTACTAGCTAGCACAAACTTTTTAAAAGCTTTTTTTTTTCATTATAACATTCTTAAAGTTGACAACTTGAAGAACTCTTTATGTCTTGTTCATGAAACCACATGGAACAATGCATTAAAAATGTAAAATAATCTATGAAAATTGAAAGTTTTATCAGTATGCTAACAGACACTCATGGGTCCTGTACAATTAACTCAACAAAACATGGCATAAAACACCCATTTTTCTTTCTCCTTACTTAGGCCACAAGTTCAGTAGTGAGAGCAAAATGCATTTATCAACAGCACACCACGTATCTAACCAACACACATTGATTCATTTCATATGACTACGGAGTTCCTAAAATTCAAAATTTAAGCTCTGACACTCAAGCATAAACTCACCTATATCAAGATAATAATATACTGCAGAAAATCATCTCATAAGGTCACACAATTTGAAATAATCTCAATTCTACTTTAGTTCAACAAAGTAGAATCAATCACATGATGCTCAGTATAACATTATCTCAGGATGCTCAGTATATCAATCACATAACAATTCTGTCAAAAGCACATAAAACAATACCCATTTATCTATTCTTTTCTTGAAATTAAACATCACACTTTAAATGCCTTATGCCTTATGAACTGAAAGTAGCACCTCTGGAGGACTAGGCCAATTAACAGCATAATAACCACCAAAAAAAAATTCAGCACCTCTCAACAAAGGCCACGGCTTAATTATCAACACATAACAGCAGCCTCAACAATACAAAAAAAACTAAAGCAACCAACACACAAACGAGTTTTCTTTAATCATGCTCAACCTTAAATGAACCTTAAACGAGTTCACCCAAGAACAACAATCAAAAAATGAACTTTGATTTAAAAAAAGAAAAATAAAAGAAATCCAATGTAAGTGAAGTCGGCAAAGATGAAAAATACACAAGTGAAGGTAAAATAGATGGGTCCTGTAAAATACACAAGTCGGCAAAGTCGACAATGCCGGAGTCGGCAAACCCGAAAAATACACAAGTGAAGTCGGTGGGAATGTAAAATACATTACCTACACCGTGGGCTGAAAACTGACGCCAACAAAGCCTCCGTCAGTTCCACAACAAACGACTGCTCCATAACCAAAATATTGCGAAAAAAAAAGTACGAATCACTATCAAGTAAATCTGAAAATTAAGCATGAAATATGTCGATTTTTTAGTTTACCTGGCTTCCCGATGGAGATTCTCAGAAAGTCGACCTTCTACAAATGCACGCCGCGCTGCAACAAACCAGGGCAAAAGCTCGAAGTTTCAGAATTTATCTGGTAAGGGGTCGTAAATTCTTGCAAACCTAAGGGTACTAGCGTAACTTTGTCAGCATTTCTGAGGGCAAGATGGGCATAGAAAATGATGGATTATTTAATCTTAGGGGGAGGGTGGGATTTTATTTATCAGAAAGTGGAGGATACTCCCATGACACATGGGCGCCACGTCACTGCTGTCCCATCCCAATCTGTTGAAGTAAATGAAGGATAATGGAGGACTAGACTCCTTATCCTATCCTAACCCTCAAAGTAAACGACCCCTAATATTATTAGCTCGTGCATCGTGATAGCGTACTAGTTTTTTTTCCTTAAGATTAAAACGTAAATAAAATGACAAATTACAAGCGCCGTAATAAAACTGAGAATGCGACTACGCGAGTATAAAATTGCCGAATTACACACTATTCACCAATCGTTCACACTACACCTATTACAATTATAAAAGTGATCCATATCCAAAATTTAGAATCCCAAAGTCACTGTTCAAACTCCACAGCACGACACCTCCTCCTTGCTTGCGTTCTTCACAATAATAAATATATCTACATATAATTCATCATTATAGAACGATCCCATTTTCTTGAGGTGAAGGGAAAAATTTCCAGAAATTAAAAGAAAAAAAGTTAAAAGAGAAAATGAGCAGCCCAAAGGGAAGAACGACTCTTGATGTGGGAGCTGATGGGATCGCCATCATCACCATCATCAACCCGCCTGTGAACTCTCTTTCGTTTGATGGTACAGTGTTTTTTCGAAAGTTACTAATTAAGTGATCTGGAATTTAGATCCGTTTTACGAGTCTTGAATTCTGAGTTTCATTTGATGGTAGTTTCTTTTTTTTTTTCTTTTTTCTTTTTTCTTTTTTTTTTTTAAAAAAAATATTTTGTGTTTGTTTAGGTTTGAGTTGTGTGTTGATTGCCATCTGTGTAGTGTAATGTTGGTTTTTTGGTATTCTTGAGGATATGTTCTCCGCTGTGGAGATATCGTAAGCTTATAAATTTTCATTTGTCTACCTTGTGAATTTTTAGCTGTAGAGAAAATTCTGGTAATATATTTTATTTATCTTGTTGGGAGTGAGGGAGAATTTTATGTTGTATCAGGCTTTAATGTTTAGTATGTGCTTCAAATTTAAGGATATCTTTGCTAGTTACTATTTGTTGAAATGTTCATTGCTGAAGCTTTGAGAGTTGGTGATTCTACATGGCTGGGTTTGGAATTATTTGTTTCTTGGAGGAGAGAAGAAAATCATTACAAATGGATCAATCTCATAATTTTTTATGCACAAAGCTCAACAATTTTCGTTAAAACTAGATCAAAATGCTTACGTTGTTTTGCCTTTTCTAATATCTTCTCTTTTTATAACTTCTGTATAAATGGTTTATTAGATGAAGATCGTGGAAAGGTTGATTACACTTCCAGCTTTTGGCAGCTAAATTCAATAAGCAGCAGAAAAAGCTGCCTGTAACTTTTCAATTTTCAATCAGCTAAAATTAATGAAAGAACAGTCTTTCATCTTTTATTATATTTTTTTCCTGATGAAACACAATACATTTACTCATGAAGTGTAGCCAGGATGCACACATTCTTGGAGTTCCATCCGTGTATATATAGTTCTTGATGTCTTCAATTTGGAACCATGTTTGTAATAGTTGCAAGGACTTATGCTCAATCATTTCAGCCTATCAAGCACACACTTACATCTTCTCTGTATTTTCTATAGTTTTGTACAGCTTAAAAGACTCCTGTGAACAGGCCTTGAGGAGAGATGATGTGAAGGCAATTGTTATCACAGGTACAGAGAAGCTAACTGTCTTGAAGTTGTACGCTTCTGAGATGCATGTTGTATGATGATACTGTTATTGTGCTTCAACAGGTGCACAGGGGAAGTTTTCTGGTGGTTTTGACATAAGTGCATTCGGAAAAATTCAAGATAATACAAGTATGTAATGTTCTTTGTGTCTTGATTTTAATTTCTTGCTTCAAGTATCTAATCTGAGCTACTGTTGTTGTTTGGTCACAGTCCAAGCTCCAAAACCTGGTTTTGTATCTTTGGAGATTCTCAGCGACCTTGTAGCAGGTTTGTCAAATATTTGAGTGATGTTTCTTCCTGATGAATAGGGTTTTCTCTTATTTTCTGATGTATCAATCTAATTTAACTCTTTGATTACTTTATTCTCCAGCTGCCAATAAACCTTTTGTGGCTGCCGTTGATGGTCTTGCTCTGGGTGGAGGCTTAGAGGTTGCAATGGTAAGTTATGCCCTTTTTTTTGTTTCTATTGGATGAGTGCTTAGGCTTTGTTGGATTATAGGTTTGAAACTAAGGACTTCTAATGCACAATAAAACTCCCCTAGTTTTATCCCATGCATTTGCACGAAAAATGATACAATAAAAGAATAAAAGAGAAAGTAATTAAAAATATATAATAAAATAAAAACCATACAGAAAAAAATATTAAACAAAAGAATCTAAATATTACTTAACACTTCTTTATATGCAACAGTCGTGGTTTTCCCCATAACAACAAATCAATATCGTTAACCCTCTTCGACTCGTGACTCTGGAATTTGATTTTCAAAATATTTGATGTATCTTTGTAATATCCCAAGAAATGTTTTTTTATTATCGTATGACAACAATAGAAAATTGAGATATTTGTAGTTATTCTTAATAATTGTGAAATATATATTTATATGATACCAAAAAATATATAGTATCAATAAAAAAAATATATTTTCTATTTCAGGACATGAAAAGACGTTACAGAAATGGGCACCATCCAAAATGGGATCTGTTAAAATTCAAAATAAATTGTGTAACTGAAAGTTACATATTATTATTAAATGGTGAACATATTTTTCATAAATGAACTCATATTATTATTAAATGTTGGTTGAATAAAATTTATTGAAGCTTGCCAACAATTATATATATATATAGATTGGTCTCAAATTTATACTATAATAGACTTCAAATAAGTGCACTCATATATCGATATATTTGTTTAGTAATTATGGTGGATTTCAAATCCATTTATAGTTGGTCATTTGAAAATCTCTTCTACAGTACTCAATCCTTCAATCCAAATGCAAACCAACCAAAATTCATGAATAAATTTCTATGTTCTTGCTTTAGGGCTGTCATGCACGTATATCTACCCCCAATGCTCAATTAGGATTACCTGAACTTCAGCTCGGCATAATTCCTGGTTTTGGAGGTACAATCTGATTCATGAAGCTTCATAATTTTGCCTGGTATATTTTTCAATTTAAATTCAATGGTAATGCATTCGGGGATTCACTGGGTAAATCAAATACACCTTGTTTTTCAACCTTCTACACTCTGAGAAGTATATGAAGCTTACTAGAGCAGTTGTATTTTACGCATTGTTATGCCATCTTTTTGTTTTTTTGGGTGTGTGTTTTTATCTCATACTCATTTATTTATTCCAGGAACACAAGCACTTCCACGCCTTGTAGGTATTGCCAAGGCCCTTGAAATGATGCTGGTAAGCTCGAGTTTTTAATATTTAACCTACTCTCATTCTTTCTGTTTTTGTTGGTTTTTTTTGTTTTCTCTGCATGTTTTCCCTATATCTTATTTTATGTGTTCCTCCTTTTTTCATCTGTCTCGAATAGACATCAAAGCCCGTAAAAGGGGAGGAGGCCTTAAGTTTGGGCCTTGTTGATGCGCTTGCCTCGCCAAATGAACTTCTGAGCACTGCCCGCCAATGGGCACTTGATATTTTGGAGGGTAAAAGACCCTGGGTTATCAGTTACTACAAGACTGACAAGCTGGAGCCTTTTGGAGAGGCAAGGGAAATACTGAAGTTTGCTCGGGCTCAGACTCGTAAACGGGCTCCGAACCTCAATCACCCATTGGTTTGCATTGATGTTATTGAGGAGGGTATAGTTTCTGGTGCTCGTGCGGGTCTGTGGAAGGTTGAAATCTTGAAATTTGATGCTTGATTTATCTTTCTTTCTTATGTAGTATTATATGTGAATCTTGTCGTCTTATCAGGAAGCTGAAGCTTTTCAAGTTCTACTGACATCAGATACTTGCAAGAGCTTGGTTCATTTCTTCTTTGCTCAGCGTGGGACCACAAAGGTTGATTAATGTTGTTGTTATTATGACTGGAAGAATGAAATAACCGTAGAACATATGTTTGCTAGTTATATTAATTAGAGAATTATAGTTTTGCCTATTGTTTGAACTTCAGTAATATGTAATATTGTTAATCTTTCTATTCTTGCTTACAGAGCTTTCTTGTGATATATATGCTATTGCTCATCTATATACGTGTGTGTCTTATATCATATCAAGCATGAAGCATCTTCTTATGGAGTACTCAACTTGTAGCTGGAACTTTGAAGTGTTCCTTTTTTTTTTGGAAGTTTCAAATTAAATAAGTACCGTCTAAAACTTCCTGGACTTGAGCTGATCCTTGGAGTTAGCATTTGATAAAAATAAGACGCTGGCGAAAAACTTATCTCATCTTAAAAATTTGTAAAAAACTCCAACTTTAAGGCTCTCTGAGCTTACGCATTGTCAACCTAATAAGTCCATGAATTTACTAATCTTTTCTCTCACTATTTACATGAAGGTACCTGGTGTCACTGATTTAGGGTTGAAACCAAGGATCATAAAGAAGGTTGCTATACTTGGTGGAGGTCTTATGGGCTCTGGAATAGCAACTGCATTGGTTCTCTCTAACTACCAAGTTATCCTGAAAGAAGTAAATGATAAGTTCTTACAAGCTGGGATTGGTAGAGTAAAAGGTGAGAGAGTGAAAGTCCTTGTTTTGACAATACAATTTGTGTCGAATTGAGCATAACATTAGTCTTGATTGGTATTTACGTCTGTCAGCAAATTTACAAAGCCGTGTGAAGAAAGGACAAATGAGTCAGGAGAAGTTGGAGAAAACTCTTTCTTTGCTCAAAGGTGCTCTCGATTATGAGAGCTTCAAAGATGTCGACATGGTTATTGAGGTAGGGGTTGTGGTATTTTATTGATTTGTGTTGGAATGAATTAGATTAAGTTCCGGTTATTTTTCATAGTGTATCCTGATTTGGGCAGTATTTGCAATCTTGAAAGGCTAGAAACTTTCTTTAAGTCGATTGAGCCTTGATGGTGTTTCTTTGCAACTCTTTGTGTTTATTTTAACTTGGTATACTCTATTAATCTTCTTAATCATGACACGTAAATAGGCTGTCATCGAGAATGTTTCTTTGAAACAACAAATATTCTCAGACCTCGAAAAATTCTGCCCTCCACACTGCATACTTGCTAGCAACACTTCCACTATTGATCTGAATTTGATTGGGGAGAAAACAAAGTCCCAGGATCGTATCATCGGAGCTCATTTTTTCAGGTAAACTCTAAGCGCATGTTTGTTTATAGAAATTTTTGGTTTTGTTTGAAATTTTTGTTTTGGTTTGGTTAATTTAGAAAAAGGTGGTATAGTTATTTGTTAGTGAGTATATTAAAATAATATTTAAAATAAAATAATTAAAATTGATTTGATATAAAAGTAGGAGAGAGATGATTTGAAGTGATAGTTAGTTAAAATAATGTGAGTGGATGAATAGTGAATTAAGGTTGATGTGGTGTGTATGAATGATTGATTGATATTATTTAATTATATTGATAATATTGCTGATAGTGGGGTTGAGTTAAAAAAAGTGGTTGAGTTAAAATGTTGGAAATTTTTTGAAAAGTTCCATAAACAAACATGCTCTAAGTTTTGAAAAAAGAAGAGAGAAAACTAAGCAACCTAACTTTGGTCATTTTCATACTTGACCACCTAAAACTATATAATATTATAATGATGGCAGTTCTCTGCAACCTCCAATCAACCGAATTCGTAGTATACCATCAATCTTTCATATGCATCTAATTGTTCTAGGAATATTCCATGTCTATGAGATTGGGAGTTTCCAACCGAAAAACTCATCATTCAGATTATAAGTTAAAAAATTAAAATATAAAATTGTTGCAATGTTGTGGTTGCTAATGTATATTTCCCCACAAGTTATGTCCTGCATCTATCACCGTGT